AATATTGACATTTATATTTAATTTTTTTTTAAATTAACTCATGTAATACATGAGTCTCACGACTAGTAACTATTGTATGAGCTTCACAAAATTACATGATTTCTGAAGGAAACTTATCAGATTGGCTTAGACCATCTGGTGTGCTTGTCACGAAATGGTTCGTCATCTACGTGACCACTAACCACAAATGTAAACACAATCTTATGTGTTTGTGGCGGTTAGTGGTGAAGCATTTTCGTGGTAAATTGTGGTGGGGACCACAGACCACCACACCCAATCAATTTGTTATCTCTCTCTACGTTTTAATTAATTAAAATATATGTATATATATTTTATTTTAATAATAAAAAAATAAGAGGGATATAGTGATGAGTATCCCAACCTTTTAGTGATTGAATGTGGTGATAAGTTTGCACCCACCACTATAATATTTAGTGGTGCGTATAACGGATGACCTTATTATTAAACATTTTCAGGTTGACATTCCATACTATGGAAGATATAGTATTAGATTCACTGATTTGAGAAAAAGATGTATGCTTGGTGGAAATCTAAATTTTTATACAAATACTAGGGATAGCCACTAGTGAGTTAACATAGAACTCACAAATTATTGAAAAGATAATAACGGGAGTTGACATGTTAACGTTTCACTCTGATAGTGTTATTGACATTATCTCGTCAACAAGTGGCCCAATCAGACTCGATAGGTCACACCCATTTCAATATCTTTGGAAGATATATGAGTACCAAGCCCTAAACTGTAAGTCTAGTTACTCGGTTAATAGGCAGAGTCTGCGGATTGTTATAATTTATAATAAACATATAAACTAAAGTACGTTGCTATTTCTTGCATTTACCCTTTTTAGCTTATTTACGAATTATTGAAACAAATTATTGAGCAAGCTGTTTAGCCAATAATTTGATGAATATCTATGATAGAACATCGCCTGGGAGGTTCTCTATATTCATTCGGTGTTGTGATGAAGCCATTTTTGAATGTCAAAGTAAACTTCCTATTCGGATGAAACTTTATGAGCTTCCGCTTGGAGAAATGAGGTGGTTAGAAAAAGAACTGGTCCTCTTAACAAGTTACAAACACAAAAGGATTAAAACATTTTAACTTAAATATGTAAATTTTCAACAAAGTGACAGACCCATAGTAAAGTTGACATACCATTAACTTAAACATATGAATCTTTAACAGACTCTAAATTAAACCCAAACAATTAGCTCTGTACGCAAAAATAAACTTGGTAATTGAATATTGTGATTGTATTGCATTAGATAACGAGTATATATATATATATATATATATATATATATATATATATATATATATATATATATATATATATATATATAACATATTTCCACTCTACACCCTCAACATATATTTACGTCTAATATTCCCCCTCAAGCTAATGTTAAGTATGAATCCACAGAAATGTTGAGTGTGAATCCACAGAAAAGCTGGTCAAAAATGGCAGGAACAATGTGAAGTTGTGAAGCCACAATTGTTGAATGAAGACCCAGTTGTGTTTTTTGACTACTTCTGATTTCCATCTCTATATAAGAGATTATTCTGTATTTGTAAAACTTGTATCTAGTGTAACACAGAAAGAGTGCAGATTAGCACCAAGAAATGTAAATTCCTAGTTACCGGTGGACGTAGGTCAGAGAAGGACCGAACCACGTTAAATCCCTCATGTTCATCCTTGTGTTCTTGTTTTTCGTGAGCTGTGTGTGTGTTTAAAGTCGTGTGTTAAGTGTCTCGATCCTAACAAGTGGTATCAGAGCAAGGTTGTAGCTCCAGAAGGTGATTTTAAGTTTTTGGTCGAAATTTTTTTTCGTCAAAAACGATTTTGGTGTATACCGTTGGAAAGGTCTCGTTCCGAAGATTCCGAAAATATTTTTTTCTGAATTTTTTGACCACCGGAAGACGTCCAAATCGCCGGTCAAATCGCCGGAGAAGACGTCCAAATCGCCGGAGAAGACGACACTGTAGCACCAGACACTGTAGCAGTCCGCCGGAGAAGACGTCACTGTAGTAGGGCTGTAGCACGATGTCAGCAGTGATGTCAGCAGACACTGTAGCAGACACTGTAGCAGATTTGAAAAATTGCAGTTTAGCCCCTGAACTTTCAGAAAATTGCAGTTTAGCCCCTGAACTTTCAGAAAATTGCAGTTTAGCCCCTAATCTTTCAGAAAATGGCAGAAAGCAGTAAGCTTCAGATTGAGAAGTTTGATGGGAAAGATTTTGGTTGGTGGAAGATGCAAATTGAAGATTTGCTCGTACAGAAAGACTTGGACGCAGTTTTAGGTGAAAAACCGGAGGCGATCACACAAGCAAACTGGGAGACTTTGGATAAGAAGGCCGAGGCATTTATTAGACTGACTTTGTCAAAGGATGTTGCCTTCAACATTTTGAAGGAGACCTCGGCAAAGGGAATCATGGAGGCATTGTCTAATATGTACGAGAAGCCGTCGGCAGCAAATAAAGTCTTCCTGATTCGGGAACTAGTCAACACGAGGATGAGGGAAGGAAGTTCAGTTACAATACACATCAACAATTTGAACTCGATTTTATCCAGACTTGGGTCAGTGGGAATAAAATTTGAGGACGAAGTTCAAGCTTTACTACTGTTATCATCATTACCTGACAGTTGGTCCGGAACAGTTACAGCCGTTACTAGTTCCGCAGGATCGAAAGAGCTCACTTTTGAGGGAATTCAGGATTTAATTCTAGGCGAAGACGTCAGACGAAGAAATTCCGGGGAATCATCAAGTGAACAATTAAATGCGGTCAGAGGTAGAAGAAATAACAGAGGTAGTGGAAGCGGGAACAGGAGAAAGAGTCAGTCGAGGACTCGAAATGATGTGACTTGTTAGAACTGTAAAGAGGTTGGACATTTCAGGAATCAATGTCCAAAAGACAAGAAAGAAGTTAACGTTGCAGTAGACCATTCAGATGATGATGTTTTGATCTGTAGTGTGGAGAGCAATGTGGATTCCTGGGTTATGGATTCGGGTGCTTCATTTCACGCTACCCACAGCCGTGAAGCACTACAGAATCTGAAAGAAGGAGATTTTGGTAAGGTAAGACTGGCGAATGATGAGGTTCTTGATGTGACGAGCATAGGTGACTTAGATTTGAAGACTCCAGTTGGTCCATGGACTTTGAAGGATGTCCGGGTAATTCCAAGTCTGAAGAAACAGTTGATTTCTGTTGGGCAGTTGGATGAACAGGGACACGAGGTTAAGTTCAGGAATGGGCAGTGGAAGGTTGTCAAAGGAAATCTTGTGATTGCTCGTGGACATAAGAGGGGTTCATTATATATGGTCAGTTTACCGTCTGAGGGAGTAACCGTCCCAGTTCAGAAGAAAAACAAAATCCGGTTCATAGAGTCTCGTGGACAGAAGAAGGTTTGCTTTGCAGATGGCAAACCCAGAGTCACAGGTCAGATTCAGGTTGAACGTGTTTGGAACGGTTCAGAAAAACCAGTCAAGGGCATTCATAGCAGTGGGAGCATGGGCTTTGTTTCAGCTAGAATACCCAGAACACAGTGGGTTAAGAGAACCAGTATTCCATCTGTAAAAGTCTCTCCAAATTATCTGCTTCACATGGAGAGTGTCGTTTGTTCTCAGGATGTTCCAGGATCGGGCAGTTCATTTCAGTGGGAGCCGGTGGAGATAGAGAACATTTCAGTGGCAGACTTAGCCATGACTGATGTGTTGGAGCTAACGGAAGCTTCAACTAGCCTTCAGGTAAATTGAAGAGAAGGCCAGGGTAACTAGGAAGGAGTTAAGATCAAATACAGATGCACAGTTGAAGCACATGTGAAGATTGTTCCGTGGCTTCAAGTGGGAGATTGTTAAGTATGAATCCACAGAAATGTTGAGTGTGAATCCACAGAAAAGCTGGTCAAAAATGGCAGGAACAATGTGAAGTTGTGAAGCCACAATTGTTGAATGAAGACCCAGTTGTGTTTTTTGACTACTTCTGATTTCCATCTCTATATAAGAGATTATTCTGTATTTGTAAAACTTGTATCTAGTGTAACACAGAAAGAGTGCAGATTAGCACCAAGCAATGTAAATTCCTAGTTACCGGTGGACGTAGGTCAGAGAAGGACCGAACCACGTTAAATCCCTCATGTTCATCCTTGTGTTCTTGTTTTTCGTGAGCTGTGTGTGTGTTTAGAGTCGTGTGTTAAGTGTCTCGATCCTAACAGCTAAGGCCGAGTAGCGACCTGTAGCTTGTCATGTAAGGAAAGAAATCGCTGTGAGGATAGAGGTTTTGTAAATCTAAGAGAAAGAAAGTCAAAGAAAACAACTTTTCTAAATAGTAAAGAGCGTTTTTGTTTCAGCCAAGGACGTTTGACACTATTTGATTTTAGTTAACTTGTTTGAGGTATTAATTCCTAAATTTAGTATATTTAGGACTCATTATGCAACATGTCAAGGAATTCTTTTTCATTGCTAGCTCTTCATTTTTACATGATAAGCATCATCGGCTAGCTCTTCTAATTACATTGTGTGCATAGTCATCCACCATGATATGATCATTACATGCCGTGCATCTGTTTAGCCCACAAAGAAAATAAGTATGCTATTGCTAGGTATGTTTCTGTACCACTACCATCCAAGGTATGCTATAGGCTAAGGCATGACCATTCAAACATATTTTGAGTGGGCCACTGCCCAAAACAAATGAAACGGAAACAAGATTCCTTGAATAGCAATAAGGCTAGACATTTATTCAATGCTTATACAAAAAAATAACACAAACAAACCATATATACCACTAACATAAATTAAAAACGAACCAACATGTCCAAAAGTTAAACACAGCATGCTCACAAGCGAGAGTGTTAGATATAATGCTCTTAAAAAAATATAGTTGACAGAAAACTAATCAAGAAACATGACATCATGCAGACTAGTAATACCAAAATACAGAAGAAGTGGGAGCTGACGTATTGCCTTTTGTAGCCCTTTTAAGAGCTGATGCGTCTTTGAAATAGAAATTGAGAGATGCCCTTTGTTGCCTTTTGAAGCTCTTTTAACAGCCAATGACTATTCAAAAAAGAAATCAAGAGATGCCATCTTGACAGCTCATGCTTAGCAGGTGCTACCCAAACAAGACTGTCAACATACTCCACAATCTTGGTTATGAATTGTCCATCACCCTTAATCTTGAAGATTTTACTCCGGGCTGCAACTGGATCATACAAACAGAAACAACCACCACCATAAAAAATAAACTCATTCTGTGATGTGAATCCATATGGACGTGTATCACCACTAAACTGTGAAAACTCATGATGTTTGACCCATGATTCAGCAACCCCATACTCATTCATCACCCACACCTCACATTTACCATCTCTAACCATTGACATCAAACAAAATTTTCCAGCCAAAACTCCCAACACACTGAAGCGGTGTCCATGGTGATGTAGTAAAGAATCTGAAGGAGGAGGTATCTCACTGAATGTCTCTGCACCCAAATCAAATGCCAATATCATTTCTGGCTTCCACTCCAAACCAGTAGAACCAAACCAATGAAGATGGCCATCATGACCATCTACACAAACATCATCATGATCCATAATTATTGTGATATGCGATGGAAAGCTTTGAGATATCAACTCCCAGGAACCCTTTCTCATGCTATAAACCTCAACTTGCGGTTCTATTCTGAATGGGTTAGAAAGGCATGTAATCTTAACAACTTTGTAATCATCAGTTTTGGGATCATGCCCAAATCGGAAAAGGATAGTTCCTGAATTACGGGAGCGCGATGAACATGGCGGGAGAGTTAACACAGCCGAGAAAGAAGGGTTCCACACGTGAACAACATAACCACCATCATACAAGTTGTAACTAAAGCATATTAATGTTAGGATCGAGACACTTAACACACGACTCTAAACACACACACAGCTCACGAAAAACAAGAACACAAGGATGAACATGAGGGATTTAACGTGGTTCGGTCCTTCTCTGACCTACGTCCACCGGTAACTAGGAATTTACATTTCTTGGTGCTAATCTGCACTCTTTCTTTGTTACACTAGATACAAGTTTTACAAATACAGAATAATCTCTTATATAGAGATGGAAATCAGAAGTAGTCAAAAAACACAACTGGGTCTTCATTCAACAATTGTGGCTTCACAACTTCACATTGTTCCTGCCATTTTTGACCAGCTTTTCTGTGGATTCACACTCAACATTTCTGTGGATTCACACTCAACATTTCTGTGGATTCATACTCAACAATTAATCCGTTCACAGATCCAATGACATTGCGGTATTTAAAACTATTTTTAGATTGGAAATTGACCGGAAATTTGATGAAATTAGTTGGTTTGATAGCGAGAGAATGAACGGGGCGTGCTATGAATGGATTACAATCTAAAAAATGTCCCCATTTGAATAGTAAGAAAATATCATCGTTGCTTTGGATTGAATGATGGAGGTGGGATTTTACAAAGGAGGATTTAGATAAGAGAGCATTCCAATCTTTACAAATGCACCTCATTTGAGCAAGTTGTTTTGCCAATAACCTGATGAATATGTTTGATAGAACATCATCTGGTAGGTTCTCCATATAGCCGTTGTCTTAAAGGTATATATTGGGGGTTTAAAACTAAGGAGCTGCAAGGTAAGACATGAATCGGTAAGAAAAAGACAAGTTAGAAGACGACTGGTCTCACTTAACGAGATTAAAACACAAAAAAGTTAACACATCATAACTTAGAATATACCGATTTTCAACAAACCAACAAAAATATAACAATTGAACTTAAACATATCGGATTTCATCATTGACTGTAACTTAAACTCTAGCAAACATAATATCTACTAACATAACATTTTAGCTTAAATACACCTTCAAAGAAACCCTAACAACAAAATATATAGCAAGAATTCTGCTTGTGTTAGCTATTGTTATGGGGCTTTGTATGGTCATTAGTGATGATGTTCCTAATTCTGTTCTTTCAGGCTCGTCATCACTAATTTAGATTACATCATTCATTTGGTTTATTTTATTTTATTTTTGTTGCTGGTATAAACACTGATGCTTGTCAATCCCCAAATTATGTGCTTTTGACATCAATTTGCCAGTTCCTTTTATAGGGCTCCCTAGGTCAATATATAAGTTTTCTTTTTTATGATAATTTCTTCGATTGGCATTGGTTCATGAGTTAGAATTTTGGATTTTCACAACGAAAGTTGGATTTTAAGGACAATATTAGGATGTTTTTGGTAAAATTGTGGAAAAAAGGGGTGTCTGCATAAATGTATTTGCTTTTGTTTTCTTTATTATTTGATTGTTGAAAAGGAAACCAAACAAAATAAAACACGGAAAGACCAGAGACAATGAGACATGGAAAGAGTAAGACTGAGAGATTCAGAAACACTTACAGTGACAAGCGGTGACAGAAATACTCTATCAGAAATAAAATGAGTAATAGAAATAAAATAAAAAAGGAATTGCATAAGGGCAAGTTAGTAATTTCAGTTTTATGATGGACCAAAACTACAACGAAAATTTGCTCAAAAGGACTGCTAATCCAAAATTTTAAGGGTTTGGACATTTTTCTTGAAAAAATACATACTATAGGGACCATTTTTGCAGTTTTGTCTTGTGATTATAACTAACTTTCTATCTTAAGAAAACCTTGTCTTTTTGGAAGAAAATATTAAACATTGTAAACCCATTTCTTAGCTTACTGAATATTGTGGTTACCATCCTGATGTAAATAAGTAAGTTCAACTGTTCAGTTGTTGCTTTCAGCTTTACCGTCTGTGTGTATAATCTGAGTAACTTCAATCAATTTCTTACCATTGGCGGAAAAATGTCTGTATTTTTAAAGAGGGGCTGTGGATATCCACAAATATGTGAACTTAGTGAATGACCTATAAATAGATTTTTTTTTTCTTTTTTCCCAAAAATTTATTGCAAAAATAAAGGTTTTCTTCTTAACAGAGAAAAATTCCATGCTTGGCAGGTGCTACCCAAACAAGACTGTCGGTATACTCCACAATCTTAGTTACCATTAGTCCACTCGTAATCTTGACGGTTTTACTCTGGGCTGCAATTGGATCATACAAACAAAAACGACCATCACTATAAAAAAATAAACTCATTGTGTGATGTGAATCCATATGGACGTATATCACCACTAAACTGTGAAAACTCATGATGTTTGACGGGTTTACGATCAAAAATAAATCCCATGTCGAAGAACAAGAGAATTTCATCGTTGTTATGGATAGAATAATGGAGGTGGGATTTTACAAATGAAGATTCAGATAAGATAGCATTCCAAGATTTAGAGACACACCTCAGTTGAGCAAGTTGTTTGGCCAATAACCGGATGAATATGTTTGATAAAACATTGTTTGGGAGGTTCTCCATAGTCGTTGGCTTAAAGGTATATATTGGGGGTTTAAAACTAACGAGCTGCAAGGTAAGAAAAGGACAAGTTAGAAGAGAACTGATCCCAATTAACGAGATAAAAACACAAAAAGATTAACACATCATAACTTAAATACACCGATTTACAACAAACCAACAAAAAAAAATATCACTATCGAACTTAAACATATCGAATTTCAACAATGACTACAACTTAAACCCTAGCAAAAATAATAGCTACTAACATAACATTATAGTTTAAACACACCTTGAAAAAAACCCTACCAACAAAATATATAGCAAGAATTATGCTTGTGTTGGCTAGTCATTAGTGATGATATACTCCTAATTCTGTTCTTTCAGGTTTTTCATCACTAATTTAGATTACATCATTCATTTGGTTTATTTTATTTTATTTTTGTGCTGGGTTTTTTTTTTCTGTAAACATTGATGCTTGTCAATTCCCAATTTAAGTGGTTTGACATCAATTTGCCAGTTCCTCACTATTCCTCCCCACTAAAAAAAGCGATTGAGAATCTCGAGAACCTAAACAAAAATGAAGAAGTGAGCGTACCCCAAGGCTCTCCTCTCTCCCACTTTTTTAGCCAACACCATCAACCCCATTTTTCACCGGTCAAAGCCAAAAATCTGATTAATAGAAGGAAAGGAGATCAGAAAAATAGACGGACGACTTATAGTATAGGTCGGATGTTTCCGTGAGCAGTAAGCAGTAGATCCCCCCTTATTTTGGGAAAGCTGGTGGCCGCGTGTTAATTCTTTCAAGGCAAGGGGCAGCCTGATTCGACATTGTTGTTTACTCTGATCCGGTCGAGGTGGTTTTCACCAGCGCGTAGGTGGTCTAAGTTCCTATGATCGTGTTGTGAAATACGAAGGATCCGAATAGACTTAAATAATATTAGCTCAATGCGGAATGGGATCAAAAATTATCAAAGCGTAATAATCACAACGAAATACGAATAAAATAAATAGAATATAGACACAGGAATTTACGTGGAAACCCAAATCGGGAAAAAAACCACGGGCGGAGGAAGCCGAGAAACAACTCACTATAATTTGCAGTGTTTACAGGGATTATGAAAGAGATTACAAATAGAGTGAGAGGGCTAAAATATATGGTGGTGTATCAATATATATATATATATATATATATATATATATATATATATATATATATATGTAATGTTTTACTATATATATATATATTTGATTGTTGGGTTATATGTGGGTTAAGTCTCTCTGGCTATTTATAGCCAAAGAGGAGAATACAGAAGAAAAGAAGAAAACAAATAATGTCGTCCAAAAAATTGTTGCGCCTCCATTCCGTCCAATTCCATTTTCAATTTCATATTAGATTACTATTCATAGTCAAACTATGAATAGTAAATGATAAGTTACGGAAATAACCCCTGAACTATTTGCCACTTGCTAATTTTGGAGACAACTTTTCCACAATCTCCACCTTGACATCAAAATTAAGCAAGTCATGCTTTACGATTAGTCAAAACCTTTAGCTCATCAAACTCTAAAACTTCCATAAAAAACTGCAATTTTGTATAGAGAAAAATTGTTTCCGGAAAAATAAATAATAGTTCCTCCACCACGAGCCTTCAGGCTCAACTGCGATCAGAAACACCCACCATGTCCAAACATAATTTGAACTTGGCTATAGGAAGACTTTTAGTGAACATATCAGCGGGATTATAATCTGTATGAATCTTGTCCACAACACAATCACCTTTTTCAATGATATCCCGCACAAAATGATAACGAATATCAATATGCTTTCTTCGGTCATGAAACATTTGATCTTTACTCAAGAAGATAGCACTCTGGTTGTCACAGAAAACTATGGTCACCTTTATTCTATCATCGAGTTCTCCGAATAACCCCTTCAACCAGATATCTTCCTTAACTGCTTCTGTAATCGCCATGTACTCTGCCTCGGTAGAAGACAGGGCAACTGTAGACTGTAACTGGGCTTTCCAACTAACAGCACAACCATTTAGTGTAAACACATACCCTGTAATTGATCTTCGTTTATCCAAATCTTTTCCATAATCTGAATCAACATATCCGAACACCCCAGTGTTAGATTTGCCAAAACGTAAACACATGGAAGACGTACCTCGTAAATAACGAAAAATCCACTAAACTGCTTTCCAGTGTTCTTTCCCCAGGTTCGCCATGTATCTACTAACCATGCTAACAGCATAAGCCAAA